CAACGCGGAATCCACCACGTTTTCCACGCGTCCCTCCTCCGTATCCATAAATATCCATAAACCTAATGATGACCGGCTGTTCCCCGGTCTCGACAGTCAGATCGTGGAATCGACTGAGAGCGAAAACAATGGGCTGCTGACAAGATCGTGGCGGGGGACCAAAACTAACACGATGTTGGAGGTGGTGTGGAAAGCCAGTGATAAGACCTGGATGACTCATTCCCAGGTGGTCGAGCTCCACCTGCTGGAGCCGTATCTCGACGCCCTCAATTAGAGACTATATCCAAGCTGGTGAGCATTACCTCTCATTAAAATTGATCAGGTCATCCTTCCATCCCCTTCCTCACCCTTCATCACTGTCTCGTCACTCTCCCTCTATGGCATGGGTCCTCCGAACCACAACAAAACCCCTCAACACCCTCATCTTTCCATAGACCCAGAGTCTAAATGCATTATTATCAAACACGCCAAAACGGGAAACAAGTAAGAGATCTACCCTAGCTCGCTTTGCCAAGTTCAACGAAGCTGTCCATGCCAATGAGGACTTCCAATTGATCTTCCCACTCGGATATCCCGAGTTCGCAGAATACATCAACTCGGACAATTTCTTATACAAGGTCTGCGAGTTCAACTACCAGAGTAATAAATGGAGTATACCTCATACCACCATGCCATCCCACATTCTTCCCACATCCTTCATCGACTCCCGAATTCTGTCTTAGCTGTGACATCGACAAACGGGCGGCGTTTCAAGACGTGGTACAGGCATTGCGCCGCTCTCTGCAAGTCCTTCCAGTACTTCCAGTACCATCATAGGAAGGAGGAGAATCAGCACCAACAGTAGCAGCAGCGCCAGAATAACGGACGGAAGTGTCAGTACCAGGACAAGTGCGACCAGTTTCTCTCCGACGCGTACACGAGGAACAGTTCTACCAGCAGCCGGCCAAGCGTCACCATAATGTAACGGCTGGACCGTCTCGCGCATCGTCAAAACCAGCTCCCTCTGTCGCGGCCGCTCCCAGCGGTTCTAAGGACCGAGCCCCTACTCCCCTCAGTCCGAATGTCAGAGTCTCCATGAGGCTCCGAAGGTGGGGTCGGATCCTAAGGGCAAGGGGAAGGAAAAGGAGTCCTCGGAGTCGGACTCTCAGAATATGGAGCAGTCTTTCTTGTTGCTTCTTAACCACTCAATAACCTTTTCGACACTTATCTCAATTATTCTTTCAATTTAGATCATCAGTTCACAAAAGTTCTACACCACATCCGGAACACGTTCCTCTTCCCTACCCCCCTACTTATATCAATTCTTTAGTCATTCCTCGACTCTGCCTGGAGGGCGTATGTAGCCCGACTGTGACTGTGACGCTCACTTTACCCACTCTGCGACCGGGCTCTCTCGTATATAAAGGACTGCTTTACTATATGATAGCCAGTTTTGCGAATACAGGCCTTACACCAGTTCTTACCTGTGAGACTACTCTCTTGTGCTGTGATGGTTTCGGTCACCCTCCCATCACATTTTGGGTCAATTTGTTATCATCCGCTATATTCACTGATCTGGCTTTCCAGGTCTACACTTCTAAAGATTTCCAAGTTTTTTAAAGTCTGATCTTGGGAATAGGACCTGTAGGCATATGCCAGCCAGCTTGCCAAAGGATATTCATTTGAAAACCACCCATTTGAAGTTATAGGTAGGACAATAGGAGAATGACCACTTTTGGGCATCAGACATTGTATGCCTTTCCAAGTCTACACTATTCCTAGTTTTTTAAAGTCTGAGCTTGGGAATAGAACGAGTAGGCATATGCCAGCTACCTTGCCAAAGCATATTCATTTAAAAACCACCCATTTGAAGTTATGGGTGGGACAATAGGAGAATAACCACATTTGGGCATCAGACGGTGTATGCCTTCCAAGTCTACACCATTCCCAGTTTTTTAAAGTCTGAGCTTGGGAATAGAACCAGTAGGCATATGCCAGCTACCTTGCCAAAGGATATTCATTCAAAAATCACCCATTTGAAGTTATAGGTGGGACGATGGGAGAATGACCGCTTTTGGGCATCAGAGATTAGATTGATACATCTGGGGTCCTGAGTCGTGGATTTGTTTGGTTGATGGCGGAGCTCAAATTACGGCTTCGACCGTCGGTTAGGGAGCTGGTCAGTCCCTGTTGCCAGTCAAGACCTCATCAATTTATCCTTCTCCCAGAGGTCTCCGAACTCTCAATAGATCTGTTGGCTGGCTCAGAGCAATCGTGATAGGCCCCTGCGCTGACGATGTCAACTAAATTGAATGTTGAGGGTGTCTTGCTCTTTGAGCAACCTTTCGCTCGCGTACGCTCATAGCTTTAATATTCGAACATGAACTTAGCTATTAATTTGAATGCTAGGTTCCTTACGAAAACTATCGCAAAGTATTTCGTACTTCGCAAAAGAATGTCGAACGTGAACTGGGAGCAGTCCAGAGTACCGCTGCTGACCTCGCGAATCGTGGAGCGAGTGGTAGTCTCGAGAAGACGGAGGCCTTGAATTCGATTGAGAGAATGATCGGGAGAGTGGAGAGCCTGAAACGCAAGGTATGTAACTGCCACACGCATACGCAGTCGATGCTTACCGCTGTACTGGCAGCTTTCAGATCTCCAGGAGACAGTAGGCAAGCCGACTCAGGATGTAATGCGCGAACGTTTGCATCATCTTGCTACGGTGGAGACGCTAGGGGCTGCGAACGCACCTGAATACAACCGATGGGCAGACACAAGACTAGATCGGTGGCTCGTCGATTGGTGTCTAAGGTCTGGCATGGAGAAGACTGCCAGGCAAATTGCGAAGGAGAGGGATATTGAGGTGCGCTGACTGGATACCGAACTCTAAGTACGCCCTCGAGTAACCTGCATTTTACAGACTCTTGTGGATATAGACCTCTTCAAGGACATACGGCGAATAGAAGATGCACTTTCTGGGAACAGTTGTACCGAAGCACTGGCGTGGTGTAATGAGAATAAAGTTGCGCTTCGGAAGATTAAGGTATGTTTATATCTCTTCCTCAATATAATGATGGCCGACACACATACTTCGCAGAGCACGCTTGAATTTGAACTTCGCCTTCAAGAATACATCGAGCTGTCAAGAGCGGCTAAATACCAGGAGGCTATCGCGTATTCGAAAAAGTACCTGATCGCGTGGCAAGAGACGCACCTATCCCAGATCCAGACTGCTGCGGCGCTATTGGCCCTCCCGCCCGAGAAAGCGTTTGGGCCGTACAAAGTAAGTTCTTTTTGGTATTTACAAAGCAATCATTCACCATATGTCCATAGCGGTTGTATGATCCCTCGCGCTGGAACAATCTCATACATTCGTTCCGGATAGCAATATACACGCTGAACACCCTTCCCACCGAGCCCCTCCTGCATCTTGCGCTTTATGCTGGCCTAGCATCCCTCAAACTTCCGGTATGCTACGACTCAGCAACCAAGAACGTCGATTGTCCCGTGTGCGATGGTGAAGCAGGTTCCGGGACTCAAGGATTAGGCATGGGTAAACTTGCAGAGGAGGTGCCTTTCAGTCATCACGCAAACTCGACCATTGTGTGCCAAATAAGTGGGAAAATCATGGATGAGGATAACATGCCCATGGCGTTTCCCGACGGTAATGTATACTCAAGAGAGGTCAGCTCGCTTTCCTTGCCACTTCTATCAAAATCTTATACCAAGATATGAACTTTATCCAGGCATTAGAAGAAATGGCGGTGAAGAATGGTGGGATTGTCACTTGTCCGCGGTCGGGCGCGAGCTGTCCACAATCTGCCTTGAGAAAAGTTTTTATCTCCTAAGTTCTCGGTACTACATGTTGTACAATAGTGTAGCTTTTTTATGTATACTAAACGAAACTTGATGTCCTGACCTGACACAATGTCCAAGAGTCTCCAAGAGTGGAAGGTCTTTCTGACATTTTCATGACATGAATGACGTGACATCATACATGTTTTTACATTTTCATGACATGAATGACGTGACATCATACATGTTTTTCCGAAGAAAAAGATGAGTCGATGACTATTAAGGCTCCAACCGTACTGTATCCGTATACGACCAAGGGCCTAGATATACGGATACAGTTATTTAGTGTGTATATACAGTATATATATGGTTATATGGTATGATGTAGACAGTTGTTATAGGGTCAGATCGAGCCATGCTTTCCGACCGGAACCTTGGGCTCGTTGACATCAAATAACCCCGGCCGAATCCATACCTTCGACAACAGATCTTGACTGATTGTCTCGGCCTTCCAGGGGCTGCTGAGATCCGCTGAGATGCAGTGTGTCGTAATTTTGAGGAGGTGCGCTCGACGGATACAGTTGTTGCTTGTATGGCCAAAAAGTCTCGTAAAACTACCTAAAACTACCTCAAAATTTTGAGCAATTAATTATTATGCGGAGGACGACCCAAGGACGACCCATCTTCAATCAACCTGGACATGTAAGTTCGAAATTGCTTGCTTATGAAAGGGACATGTTCCCTGCATTGTCCAGGGTCTGACCTGACAGTCTAAAAGCCTCTGCTCACAAAGAATGAGACTTGTCACTGAGATGTGTCAGAAGGACGCGCACAACGTGTTACAATTTTGGAGTAGCTCGCTGTGGACGATCTAAAAATAGGCCAAGCCCGATCCGAGAGGTGTTTTTGGTTACGCCTTGTCCAAAAACAGGCCTCGTTCTCTCGTCATTTGCTGACACCTCCTCGATTGCGACCTATCACTGCGAAATCAACCTAGGCCCCAGGAAAGCCACTGATTTACTGTACGGGAAAAATTAACAGTATAACCATATGCTATACTGTATATCTACTGTATAGGACAATTTTTCGAACAGGCCTATACATATACGTAAACATATACGGTACCTACTGTATATATATGGTAAATAGATAGTACGGTTGGAGCCTTAATGACTATCGGTACATACTATTACCTGGCGGTCGGTCTGATGAACGATAAAAATATTTGCCCACTGACCGGATTGAACGATCGACCTCACCATCGCGGTTATACGAGTGGCGCGCTCTACCACTGAGCTAAACGGGCTGTGACAGAAGTGAACGAGACGAAACCACATTCCGCTTGGTATGCGGCCGTCTTAGTATGAGTCACGACTCCGCAGGATCCGCTAGCATCCGCAGCCTCGGTCAACCTTGAACCTTGCGCCACGTCTGACATGCTTAGAATCTCAAGTTGCTCCGGGTTGGGCTGATTCCTATCTAACGCCATGGCAGCTCTGTCCTCCCAGGTAAATGTGCCTTCCACGTGCCTAATCTCGTAACTTGAATCCTGTGCAAATCTGCCAACTGTCGAGCCTAGTTGCAAATTTCCCTCTTCATTTCCGTCCTCTCGCCAAATTTGGATGTCCTGCACGATACACACCATGTTTTAACAGAGCAGTGCGCCCGACGAAACAAAGTCTGAGTGAGCGCATGCCTCGCGTTTGCCGAGACGACCATGGGCGTTGATAAGCCTGTAGCCTCTCATCGATTTTAAGGCTCTCATGATCTGTGTGCACTTTCCCCGTGCTTCCTGCTTCTTCAGAAGTCTGCCTCGCTATTCCAGCACTGCACAACTACCCCCCTTCCCCCTTCTACCCCGACATCTCCTCTGCGTCATGGCTGTCGAATCCTCGACGTCTCTCCATCGAAGCTCCGGGTAACTCCGACCTTAGGGACAACTTGCATGGCAGGCCCACCTTGCATCGAGTAGCGAGTACTGAATACGAAGGGATGGAAGTGGTTCGATCGACCCAGTATGTCTATTTTACCAAGAGTGGCAAGCGTGCTGCCCAGGCAACTGAATAGACTTGCCTCACGACTTTCGACTGCTCCGTGAACACCGCCCCGGTTTCAAGTTCGGTGGCGCTGACCATACTTACTATCATCGTCGTCCGGTCTTTGTCAAGTCACCTCTCCGGCCGCTTTTCCAGTCGGCGTCGGCACCTTCACCTCAGTGGGGATACGGATACAGACGTCGCCTTAGGTGTCCTTTTGCGCATGTGCTATTTTCAGCTCTACTCCCTCGCCTTGATATTGCGGTTTCATCGGGCACAGCTCGCTTGTTTGCTCCCGATCGTGTTAACAAATCTTAGCACGCGTCGCAATGTGCGTCTGACATGAGACTCTGACGTCTTTCCCTTGCTTCTCCACATGTCCGAGTCATAATCAATCTTCATACCAGGCAAACTTGGAGTGTGAAGTCCAGGTTTTTCCCAATGCGGCGAACGAATTTGGGGTGGTACACTACGGCATGCAGATTTATGCAACCACGCCCACAAAGAAGATACATAAATGGGACAGGATTTGACGGTATTGATGAATTCTTACATCCGGACGACCCGTCGAACATGAGGACGGGCGATGAAATCGGTGTTACAGCCAACCGAACGGAGGGGCCGACAGCAGTCTAGTAAAAAGGAGCGGTAAATGAGCACCGTTCCTGTTTGCTTAATCCGCTCCGTGGCCTTGTTCTGGATCTAGCAAGTTTGACTTGATATATGGTTCGGTCACTGAGCTTGTCGTGGGGATCGATTACTGGTCTAACGTCACACGTTCGCCGTTCCGCAGAGTCATATCTTCGAGTCGGGATCGAAATGCACAGCTCGAAATGGCTCAACATATAGTACCCTCGTTCCACACATCACGTTGACTGTGAAAGAGAGAGAATAAAGAAGTCGCTTAGTCGAAATCGAACAATTGGGTTGGCTAGATGTGACGATGGGGAGCCAATCTAGCGGCGAGTACTTTTCTAACTGGGTGAAACAACTCGACCGAGTCGCCGACATCTGACTAAAGCAAGGCATGGAAGATCCACCGAACACGCGTCTCGGTTCCGCTCGACTGTGTTGTTTACGCGTATGCAGGAGGTAAGTTCGAGCTTCCTTAAAGAGTAGAGTCGTGATGACAAAAAAAGGAATAGATCATACTCAAGATCTTGAACTCAAAACCACTCCTCGCCCAGGGAGAACCGTAGCGAATCGCAGTGCCGGATGACATATGGGCGAGAAGTGACCTTCTCCGAGCTACAATACATCGTATCACGCCTGCCGAAGTAACCCAGTTGTGCGACCCTTCCACGCAGCACGTATGTACACGGGGCAGCGTGGCTCTGATCGAGGGGAAGGGAAGCGCAAGGAAAACGGGTGTGGCTTACGAGTTTTTGATCCTTCACTGCATGGGACGGACCCAAAAATAAATTGAGTGAGCATACCCAGATACTGCAATCCTTGGAAGCAGGTGTATTCCCGGTGACACTGGGAAACAAGATTCATTTGTACGCGAAGCACACGTCGGTGCTAGTGCCTCGCCGGAGGCGGGGGAGTTCAGCAGAGCATCATTGAAGCAATGATGTTGTTTCCAAAGCATAGCCCGGGCATTGAGGTTTCGGTCGACATGTAGACCCCAATCACGAAAAAGATATGAGCAAATGAATCTGGAGTTTGCGAGGCTAAAAAAAATAATGCAGTGTTGTCATGTCATGAAAGACCTGGAGCGCATGTTCTGGCATAAATTGTGGGTGGCTGAACGCAGATGAACATACGTACCCATGAGTTTCCCTAACCAAACGTGCGCACTTCGAGGGCGACGGAAACTCGAAATAAACTCGGTGGCTTCAAGCTTGTATATCCTCCCATTTGTCAGTTCATAAATTATGAAGAATCATGTCATTCCAAATGAGCAACTAAGAACCAAGATGTATTAAATCCATGATTATTGGACGGGCGATGATTTTCGAAGATTGGCATGCAACTCGAACCTTCGTCCCTCCGAGTCAGGGGTGTGTGCATCTTGCATAGGTAAGGATGGCGATAGTCCTTCTGAGAAAGGAACTCAGTGTATGCATCGGCGAGCACTGCCTGCGTACGGCCGAATGAGTATTTAGGTACTTGTCAGTTGTTCGGAATCTACGGTGGTGGCGTTTGCCAATCTATCTGATCTTGATCGCTAAATTGATGTAACCCATCCCGGGCCTCCGAGTTCGGCTCCTGGCTCGGCATCATGTATAGCTTCTTATCAACGATGCCGAGTCTCAGTGCCTCACCACGCACACGAGGCCACACTACTTCAATTGACTATGCCATTCAATGGCATTTGTCAGGGAAAATCTATTTTGTGGGTGTTATACTGCCAGTAGAAATCTGACTTTTCCTGACTGAAATCTCTTTGATTGGCCTCCTCCTGTCCACCACAGCTATGCAACTATATTTCTTTTTCGAAGACGATATACTATCGGCGTATGTACGTTTACTGGTTTGAAATACGTGTGCCAGACCGGCGTCGTTACCACGTGGCATTTACATCCCTGGACCATCCACGCCGTTCCAAATTGTGGTCCATTCAATCTGCCCAGCGTCGTGCTTCGCGGAATATGAATGTCAGCTGGAAGGTCGCATCCTTGCCGCGAATGTGACAGACAAGGCCGCTTCCCTACTTCGGTCTTAAATAACGTGGATGTGGCGGGGTTATACCCTTTAAGACAGTGGGATACAACAAGTTGAACTGGAGCCGGTTGGTGCTCCGACCGCTGGAGCTTGGTTGGCCCTCGTTAGCTGCGTGCATGATTCCCTCGTTATCATACCTTCAGTCTTCGCCAGCCATCTCATTGCCACCTGTCCCCCAGCTTTTGTTCGCCTCCATGATTCGGCCGCTTTGACCACCGACCAAGATGTTGGCCAGTGGCCCCTTCCCGCCACTCAGCTTTGACTCTACAGCTTTGGCACTAGACAGTATATATGAGCAAAACGATGTCCGAGATATCTACGATACGACGATACCGGTTCTCTTCAAAAAATGGCGAGACGTAGCTACTCTACCCCCAATTCTCATCCTCTTCAGGATCTTCAGGTCGCGGAATGGCCCAGTTTGCAAGTTCTCTTAGCACCTCGCACCGAAGGCTGGCGTAACAGGTGCATATTTATCTTCCACATATATTTTCTTGAGTCCTGATCGTATTTTCGTTTAGTCTCCATTATGATATGCACGGCTATGTGGAAGTCGATGCAGTCACTCTACTGGGGACCCTTCCAGGGTATTCGCAGCCGATAAAATTATCCTTGCACTCTGTCGAGCTTGATTTCCGCTTCTGGCAAAAATGTCGAATGGAACCAGCCTCCAATAAAGGATCTGAACACCACGACATCGGGGGTTCAGGATCACCCCGATTATATTGTTCAGAAACGATGGTCCAGTTCTTCGCACCACACTCCACCACCCCCCAGAGCAGGTCAGAAGTGGTCAAGCTTCGGTACCCTTTCAAAGCGACAGTCCCGTGTACGATGTTCCACATGACCTCTTATGAGGCGGATCGGTTCTTCGAATGTACAGCGCGGGCGTGGTATACGCCAAACATCATGTCACCTGGCGGGACTCAGCCTGGGGCCACGGCACCTATGTCTATTGCATGCCCCCCTTCGAGAACGTCGCGAGCGTATATGCCGCCTAAAGCGCGCTCACATACGCTTCGCTCCTATGAGTACCCGGAGCCTCCAGCGAAACCTCCACCGCGTACGCCCTTTGGCCATTGCCGTGTTCTACGGTGAAAACTCGTCCAGATAGTTCAAAGGCGCATGGGCGCCATGGCCTGTAATTGTGTCAGCAGAATTATTTTTTGGGTCGCTTCTGTCGTAATAGATATGCAAATAATGTATCCAGTATGCCTCGTACAATGTCGTTCATTCAGCAATGCCGGATGAGGAAGTGGCTCCAGGTTTCGTCCCTTCACCCATAGTGCTTTGCGATGCCCTCTCCTTCCGCTGTCGTCGCCACGCTGATAGCTCTCTGAGAGCAGCCACGAAAAGCGGGATGACCGCACTAGCAAACATCGGCGTATAGACGGCATACTTGTGCTCTGCCGGGAAGTAAAGCAGTGCTAGCATCCCTGGGTTGAAAAACGCTCGTGAAGACAACGTAAACGCATGGGCGGAAAGACGGAAAGTCTTAGTCAACGATGCCTTGGACACCTCGAACATCTGGAAAGTTGGTTAGTGATTTCCATATTACGTGAGGTAGCTGTAATTCGAACCTCTTCGAGAGCAGCCAGCGCTC